CAACCCCTGTGGAAAGCAGTATGGCGCTTTCTCAAAAAGTTGCAAATAGAGATACCATTTGACCCAGCAATTCCACTACTGGGAATATACCCTGAAGAGATCATAGCTGACATCCAAGCAGATATATGCACACCCATGTTTATTGCAGCTTTGTTCTTTTTAGCTTTTGGTGTCATCTTCATAGAAAGGAATATATTTTTCCCCCTTCTTGTAGGGGAAAGTGCAAACCTAGTTCTTACCACAAATTACACAGTCAAGTTTGCTACATTTGAGGAAATCACAGGTTTCAGCACATCTGGAGTGCAATGGCTAAGCCTTGCCCTGGGAAAACCACCTTCGTGATCATTGTATATGAGTCGCAGGCGACTTGATGGCACATAACAATAACAAAAACAACAATAATTTTGTTTTAATTACTGATATTCTGTCTTTTCATTTTTGGAAAGGCTTGCTATTCCCCCAATATTTCAGGTTTTCCAAAGTTTTCCATCACTCTTGTATATCTGTTTTATTTTCAGAAGAATTTTGGGGTAATTTTAGAAAAATTCCCAAGAAAAACCAAATCTTTTGGAATTCTATGATAATATTTACATTGATAGACTAATAATGGGAGAGAATTAGTATTTTAAAATTTTGAGTTTTCCAGCTGAGAAGAGGATGGTTTTTCTATTTATTCAAATCTACTTGTGTATGTGTATGGTTTTAAATTTTCCAGCTGCATTCTCGTTTCTACACATTTCATGTTTGGTGTTAGGATCCATGAGATCAAGTATATTTTCTAGTCAGTTACTACTGTATAAAGCAAGCAAACAAGCAAAAAAATCCTGTTGCTTTATGAATATGACTTTTATAATGTCTAGATCTTTTAAATGAGCACAATTCAATGTCCTGGGATTCTCATTCTTCTTAATGCTATCCATAATTTATTATGATCCACAAAGTGCAGCTAGGTTGGCCTGGCAGTGTAATTTCATCTCACATACTTTGGGCATGTGGTCAGGAGGGACCAGTCATTGGAAAGACACCATTGTCGGTGGGAAAGACAGAGGGTCAGAGGACAGAGGAAGACCCTCAACAAGATTGACTTGACACGGGAACTGTAACGGGCTCCAGCGTCTTAGAGACCACAAGGATGGTACAGAATAGGGAAAGGTTCAGACCTGCTGGTCAAAGGATTGCTATGAGCTGAAGTCAACTTATGACACCTAACAACAGCAACATTTAAATCTGGAACATTTTATAACTATAATGATGGCCTAAATGTGCAATAAGACAAAAGACACAGTGTGCTTAATTATTAGTCTATGATGTGTAACACTCTCCTGATGACTTTTCTTCGTACAATCTACATGAAAGAGGCGCCTGTAACGATCACAGTCATACCTGAAGGTGAACTTCTAGTGACTTGTCAGATATGGCCTTTAAGCAGGTGGCATTGATGTTGATGTCGTCTTCTCCTGAGGTGTCGTACAGAACAACAAGGGGAATGTCAGCTTTGTCGAGTATTTCCACTGCAAAGATCTTCCCGCAAGTTAAAGATTCAACCACTTTCACCAAATCAGGGTCATCACTCAGAACTTCCAGGCCTGAAAAATATTGAGTATTTCAATTTTGACTTCGAGAAACCATTTTTAGACACATACACTGATTTTTTCTGGTTTGAACATTTATTGTACAATTAGGATTCTATGACAAAACTCTTCAATTTTAAACGGAGTTTCATTTTACAACCGTATGTTATTTTATAATCATGTTATCTCTCCTTTAAAAAGTATGAGTATTTTTTTAATTACTGTACTAAATCAGACAATCCTAAAACAAGAAGAAAAGTTGATTATCAGAGATTCTAGGAAAACTAACCTTTACTTTATATATATACACATACATATTTGAAAGAGAAGACATATAAAGAAAAAGCTATTAATTAAAACAGCCAGTCATATGTTTGTCTTTTTCTTTCAAAAGCCTATCCTTTACTTTTTTCATTTTCTAGTTAAATAATATAGTTGTGTTTTTCTCATAAAATGAACATAATTTTATTGGAAATGGAGATGAATACTTTTTATTCCTTTTTAAAAAGTACTTTGGGCATGTAGCCAGCAGGAACCAGACTTTGGAGAAGGATATTATGTTTGGGAGGGTCGAGGGACAGGGCATGAGAGGAAGACCACGGATGAGGATTGACACAATAACTGGAGTAATGAGGGTAGGTGGGTCAGAGACAGTGAGACTGGCTCAGGATAGAACAAGATTCAGAGCTACTGTGCCTAAGGTTGCTATGAGTTGTAGTCTACTTGACAGGACATAACAACAAACGAACAACAACAACAACATACTAAGCATATAGTAGAGAATTCTGGTGGCCTAGTGGCAAGAAACTGTGCTGCAAATCCCAAAGGCACATTTTTCAAATTCATCAGCTGCTCCACAGTAGAAGGATGGGCAATCTCCTGTCATGCAATCTACAGCCTCTGAAAAGCCACTGGAGGGTCAACTATTATTTGGTTCCAACTCTACGGTACACAACAACAACAACATACTAAGCACAGGGCAACTGACCTGTTGTTCACAGGATTGAGTGAACTATGAGTGAAGCTATGAGTGGGAGATGACACAACAGTACCTTTCAACAATAACACTAAGCATGACATTATTTATACTTTCCAAGAAAGATTATTAAAAGACTTTAAAGTAGTTAGTTCCTTATAATATTTAACCATCCAGATGTATAATACTTATTCATGTATTAAGATGGAGAAAGCATTAAGAGCAATTCTTCTCACCTGCTAGCTTGCACTTTGTGGCTTGGAATGGAAGTGAACAGAATTTAGGATTCAATCTGTATGCTTTGCTCTTTTCAATGTTTTCACTAAAACCGTAGTCAACATAGCATACCTAAGAATAAAAAACAAGATTAGGTGCAAGTAAGGTTTTTCAATCTTAATTTCTTTATTTAAAAACCATTCAGTACATTTAACTGGCTCCATTTTAGTCCAGAATCAACACTTTCAAGTGAGTTTAGTACTTCCCTGGCCAAGTGTAAGGACCCCACAGGTGCCTGCAAAATGCCAAGAGAGGTGACCTCTGATTTCCACCTGAAAAGACAGACTGCAAAGGAAACTGGGCCCACTGACTTCATGGGCCTCACCCCTCTCCATGCCTCTTTGCCTGTGAGAAGAGTAAGGGGAAGACTGTGTTGAAGGCTGATGTCTTGTCAATGACAGTTTCTCACTGGCACGTCCGTGTGGCTCTTCCCGCCCTGAGTGTCCCACATTCCTTACTCCTATCCCTGCATTCGCTTCTTCTTGGTTTCATGCATCCATCCAGTCCTTGGGCAGCAGTATTTGTTTCTGGAGAAGTCACTCTATTTATTAGATTCTAAATTCCTCAAAAAGGCATTTGCCAACTCTGAACCATAATGTTTCAGAGGCCAACATACTTCCTAGTGACGAAAATACTGATGGTTTAACATGGAACTTTTGATGACAGAATTAGGTAGAAGCGTGTGGGTGCAAAGTTGGTTAGGCTTCATCCAGCTCAACAGAGGCCCCACTCTGCGGGACAGAGTTCAGTGCTTGAAGAAACCGGTGTGACTCTTGGCTCCCATTTAGTGCAGATGAGTAAGTCTAGATATTATGCTGGTGATTATTTTAGAAAAAGAGAACATAGATTCATTAAGCTATGAGTTTAAAATTATATCTAAGAATCACAGGATAAATACAGAAAATATAATACATTTCTCTAACTGAAGCAGATGATGGTGATTTGAAAAATAAAAATCAGTGGATCTCTGATCTAAAGGGTAATAGCATGGCTAACAGATAGTGTGTAATACAGAGACAGGCCCTTTTACTTTCTGCATGAAAATGGAATATACAGACCAGCTTCTCAGTACCAAGAGTCTTGTACCAAATAAACAAAACAAAAACTCCAACAAGCAGAAATTCTAAGGACAAGAAAGCCACAGAATACCAACTGCCTTCCTAGAGGAAAAGGGTTTATGTGATAAGAGGGTCTGTCTGTATCAGAGAAGATTGTCTGTGGTTCACACTTGACTCAATACTGCCCCAGGGCCAGATCCCTGCCAGGGTCCCCCTGCCAGGCAGTCAGCCATCTAAAGCACACAAATCTGCTTCTCCACCCGCAGCTGGCACCTGTTCTTCTCACCTGCCTTAGGATTCAGGCAGCTTTTGTTTCCTTTAATAGCCATCACTACCACCTACAACTTAGATTCCATTCTTCCCAACCATTAAGGACACGATGTGGAATCATGACTCTAAGGAAACTGAGAATGTGTTCTGAGCATAACAAAGAATAACCACTATAGAAAGCCCTCAGGATTTTAATGTTTACAGATTCTTCTTTTTTATTTCCTCTTCCTTTCTGACTTTTGATCACTACATCACATATTCATGAGGCAGCTAAAACACCTCCATGTGCATTTCCCAGTTTGAGTGTCGCCACACCTAGCCTTGTGTGCTTTGGTCCGTGACATCTCTTCACTAAGGCCCTGGGATCAACACGAGGGAGCACACAATCCTGGCATTCCCGTTCCTTGTTCTCTGGTGCCATCACGTGGTCATGTATCTCACAACACTTAGCATCACCCTTATTTAAAATCCCTGGAAAACAGGTCTGGGTTAGGCAAATAGACATCTACATTGTGAGGGGTGTGTCCATATGCTTCAAAGCTGGACTTTTCCTGTTTCTCATAGTCACGAAGATCTAACAAGTAGAAAGTAAAAAGGAAATATTTTACTTCTACCAAGCACAGCACAATTAAAGAAAAACAAGATCACTGAGTGAGAAAAGAGCTCATTTCATGGATTAGCTATTTCAAGTATGTTACTTAAAATATGTTAGAGTTACTTGAAGTTCGTGTCATGGGTTAGGTATTTAAAAACTAATTTATTGCAGTTTTAGGGGTTTTCTACTGTACAAAATACTGAGGGTTTCTTTTTATTTCTAAAAAATTAGAAGCTCTGAGCAGCAATGACAATTGTCTGCTTCCTTTTATGTGAGATACTTTCTTCTTCTGGCTTCCGTGGTGCCCTCCACTTGTACTTCCTCCTCCTGAAGTCCTCACTGTTCTTCTGTCCACCATATAAACACTCAACTGTTTCAGAGATGGCCCTGTACCCTCCTTACTTCTCTATCTGTATTCATTCTCTAGATCTTACTCAGTCCCATGATTTTAAGTAGAGTCTCACCACTGGGCTGACTGGAAGCATCATGATAGGCGGTAAAGAGACTGAGATTGTTCACAGCTTTACTTTGTTTGGCTCTACAATCAACACTCTTGGCACCAGCAGCCAGGAACTCCAAAAGATTAATCGCATTGGGAAAATCTGCTGTGATGGACCTCTCCAGAGTACTGAGGAGTAATGTCAGTCTGGAGACTAAGGTGCTCCCGATTAAGGCCATAGTCTTTGCAATTACTTGCTATGCATAAAAAAGTGGAACAATGACTAAGGATGACAGAAGGAGAATTTATGCCTTTGAGTTGTGGTGTGGGAGAAGAGTACTGAGAATACCATGGACTATTAGGAGAACAAATATGTCTGTCCTGGAGAGGGTGAAACCAGGCTACTCCTTGAAAGCAGGGATTCTGAAACTCCATCTGACATATTTTGTGGGTGCTGCAAGGGCGGACCAGTCCTTGGAGAGGGATATCATACTTGGAAGGGTGATGGGACAGAGCAAAAGAGGTAGACCCTAGATGAGATGGACTGACTCAGTGACTGTGTTAATGGGAGTAGGTGTATCAGAGACAGTGAGGTTGGCTCAAGATAGAACAGGGTTCAGAGCTGTTCACATAAGGTTGTTATGAGTCGCAAGCAACTGATCAGCACATAACAACAACAAAACATATGCTGATGCTTCCAGTATGATATCTGTCCAGTTGTTACTTTCTCTGAGCTCCAAACTCATCCACCTGCAATCTAACTGATCTCAATCCTAATAGATCCTAAACAATTCCCAATTCTTTCCCATATCTTTCAGCCAAGCAAGATTTAATAGCTGACAATTTCAATCTTTTCTCTCTATCATAATGTTGCCTGTTGACCACGTGGTATATTCCTGATGTTGAGATGTAATCCACATAGAAGGCTGCAGTCCTTGAGTCTGCTTTGCTTTCAGTAAGCAAAGGTGTGTCATCTGCATAATGTAGTTTGTTGATTAATCTTCCTCCAATCCAGATGTCAAACTCTTCTTCATAGAGTTCAGCTTCTCTAATGACTTCAGCATACAGATTGAGTAGGTAAGGAAAAAGGATTACAGCCCTTTCTTGATTTTAAACCAAACTGTGTTCCTTTGCTCTATTTGGACACCAGGTTCTTGGTCTAGGTATAGGTTTCATACAAGCATAAGTAAGTGTTCTGAAATTCCCATTATTCTCAATGCTAGCCATAGTCTGCTATGAGCCACACAGTCAAATGTCTTTGCACAGTCGGGAGCTGAAGCTATCTATATGGAAGGTAAAAAGGTTTTATCGTACAGAAAAGCCTGCAAAAATAGAAGTGTATTTCCCTGCTTGCAAAATATAGAGAGAATTCTTAGGTCTTTTGATGTGTTTCCTCTCCCAGACTGTGAGAATCCTATTGGAAAAGAAAGAGAGGACTGAGACTGGGTGATGAGAAATAGCCTCCCCTCCTGTACAGTTTGTTTCCCAGTGAGGATAGAAATGAGCCAATCTCTTGTGGAACATTTGCCTTTGGGGAAGGACAAGTATCTTCAACAAGGCCCCTTCTCCTGCAAAGTTCTCCACAAAGCAGCAGCCTCACTGCCATGAAGGCGTTAACAGAGAAGATTCCACAGACAAATTCAATAACAAAAAATGAAAATTCCAAGTAACACACAGCTTTCAACAACAAAGGAAGAAGTGGCACATTAAAAAGTAAGGCATAGCTCAAGCGGCCCTCCTTCGAGCATCCATTTAGTAGCTCCACAGCCCTAAGGCTCCACTGATCCCAGTAAGACTGTGCCTTTTGGGCAACAAAGTTCTGGTTTTAAATCTCAAGACTGAAAGAAAAGGCAAAAACTGATCTCAGGGATATGGTCAAGTATGGAAATCTAAGAATCAGTTAGGGGGAGAGAAAAACCCTCTGTCCTTTCCGAGAGGCAGAGAGGGCAGCACACAGCAGTAGCTCTTAGAAGAAGATTCAAGTCCTTTTCAGGTTTCTGACTGCAGGAGAGAAAGCATGTCTTCGCCTCTGATCCGCTGCTTCTTCACTCCAAAATATCGTTCTTGGTGAGAAGCCCACATAGCTCTGAGCAGTATTTAATTATTTAGCTCACAGGAATGGGATGAAATGCTTTATCCTGGTTAGACCATAGGTTATGGAGAATTATTTTTTTGGTCTGAAATGGAAATAAGACCATCAGTGACTTGAAAGCTGACAGGTAATCTTGAACAGCTATTATCTCTTCTATTTCTGAGAAAGTGAAACACTTTAAAAGGACACAATACTAACAGCAGCAATGACATCTGAAAACTTTCCTGGTATTTACCTTGCTAATGCTATGACAAAATAAGCAGTGCTTGCCTTTATTTTCTTGTCATCTGCTGAGATGATCTGTGCCCGCAGCCACGCATCCTCGTCGGCATTTACTGCCAGCAACTGCCCAACATGCACAGCCTGGACTGGAGCGACCTTGGGGTTCTTGCTGTAGTATTCCTTCATCTCATCTTCCATTAACTCCTGAGCAGCAGAATAGTCTTTCCCCACATACCTGAATTGGTTGAGGGAAGAGAACACAAATGTAGGAACCCGGCAGGGAAAAGCTACAGAAATTCATTGACGTCACTCTGCTTTCTCTAATGTCCTGTTTGGTTGTTTGGTCCCCCCCCCCCCTTTGGATGTCCTTTACCTCAGCAAGGAAGAGACATGTATGGAGTAAACACTTGCAGCCTGATAAAATAAGATACGATATGCAAAACCAAGACTGAGGCCTGAACACCACAGAATAGAACAAACATTCAACAGTGATCCAGAGAAGCAGAGTGTAACCAGTGCCATTGGGGGACAGTCTTTCGGGGGAAAACAGGTCTGTCCTGGAGAGTGTAGAACCAGTTTGCTCTTCGGAGACAAGGATTTTGAAACTCTGTCTCATATATTTTGGGCACGCTGTCAGGAGGTGGTCAGTCCTTGGAAAAGGATATCATGCTTGGAAGGGTGGAGGGTCAGCACAGGAAAGGAAGACCCTCTATGAGATAGACTAACACAGTGGCTGTGGCAATGGGATCAGGTTGTCAGAGACGGTGAAGTTGTCTCAGAAGAGGACAGGGTTCAGAGCTGTTGTTCACCGGGTCACTGAATTGCAGTTGACTGGAAAGCACATAATAACAACAGGCTCACAGAAAACAAAAGGACTCATGAACAGGAAAGAGAGGAAGATATAAAGGGGAAAGGAGGCATCACTAAAGGCCAGACAGGCAAGGCTCAAGCTAAGGTTTCTGAGAAAGCTGCTGGGAATCTTTGTGTATTATTGAGAAGAGAATCTGGTAGTTTTGTCCTAATAAGGCTTAAGTTCTGAAAAGTAATAAAATTTAACTAGAGAAAAACAATGCCTTTAAATACTCTAAAACCAAGCATGTGACAACTCTTCCAACTTACTGGACAAATATGAACAAATGAAGTCTTGAGTTTTGACATCTTTAACAGACGTAACTGCTGTTCCAGCCCTGTGTGTCTAAAATGTCACATGCTTTCTGAGACGTGTTTTCTCTCCCTAGATTTGCCCCAGCCCCTCCTTCTACAATCTGTCAACAACTGCAGCCACCCTGTCCCAGTCAGGTTTTGCTAGCAAGGCATATTATTTTGCTTTTCTGCCGCAGCAAGTTGCTCTATTCTTGCCCTTTGGACCTGGAAGACAGTTCCACCAAGGGCCTCGTTCCAGGATGTAAAAGTACAATGTGAGTTTGGGGCACATGATAGGAGTTGTTGTGGACACAGGATGGAGGCTCTTTAGTTGGAATGTGGTCCTGTACAAGTACCAGGATCAGCCAGACACGGAGATTGTGTGCCAGGTCTTCCTCAGGACCCCAAATGACCCTAGCTAGCTTTAAGTAACTATCTGTTTAACAGTTTTCATATATCCTTTCTTAGTACTACTAGCAAAGCAGAAGACACGACACCACAGCCAATCTACTGGGGGGAAGGAGGCAGAGGTGGGACCAAAACAAAACTCAAACACAACAAACTAAAAAACTCAGAACTGCTCTTAAAAGTCCTTTATAAGAGGTAAAGAATGCCCTTTTTCCCCCCTGCAATAACTATTTTGAAACCAAATATGAGCCACTCTAGAAACAGCTGCGGAGACTGTCAATATGCTATCGTTTAAATGTACGGAGTCTCACAAATGTTAAAGGACTCCCTGGAATGCAGCTGCACCCTTGACTGCAGTCTCCTTGGAAGTCTGCAGCTCTGACCAAGCGCCCATCTCCAAGGCTCTGGAGACCCAGGCTTCCCTACATGTTCCCTGGCAAGTGCTGCTGCAGCCCTGGGCACTCAACTGGAGGAGGTCAGGCTGTGGTCACCATCTGGCTGTCTTCCTAGCACAGGCTCCTGGAGAAGGATGGCAGTGAGGGAGCAAAAGTAACAAGTAGAAAAAGAGAGACACATGCTGGGGTCAGTGTGAACAGGAGACCGCTGCTGGTTATGAGGGTCAGGAGTAGCAAGAATGAATTCAAACACTGTCCCCATATTATCTGAGCAGAGGGGACAAAGAAAGTATAAGCTACTTTGGGAGTGTTAGCAATGCAAACTGTTACACAGCTTACTTCTGAGACCAGACACAGGGATTTAATGGTACAAGGTACCACCTAGAGTACTGAGTTTGGTATCACAGTGGTTAATCAGCTGCTTGGTAAAGGGAAAAGAAAGACATAGTGTCTGGTTCTGTGATGGTCACAGCCTTGGAAACTCTACTGGGTAGTTCTATTCTGTCCTAGATGGTTGCTATGAGCCAGAATCTATTAAGGAGCAGTGAGTTTGGAGCTTTCATTACCCTGGATTAGCTAAAAACCACCACTGAAATCCTAAACATAATCTCAATTCCTTCCAGAACATCAGAAATCACATGACCAGTCCAACCTATGGCTTGGCTGATGACCAAGCAAATGGTATCAAAGTGTACTGGCACCAGAGAATATTAATAACTGATTAAGGGTTTTACTGATAATATTAGATGGTAAATGTTAGTACTATGTCCCTCGGTGTTCTTCCTTTATGTTAATGGAATAGTGAATCATAATGGGATTGCAATAAAATCTGTGTCAATCTGCCCAGACCAGCATTTTCAGTAGTTTGACAGTTATGGATCAACGTAACTTATCAGTTACATAATTAATAATGCAATCACCCCTCATGATGTGATCTATCAGATTAGGGTGAGGTACAGAAATCTTATGCAGCCCTGAGCCATTGTGAGGGTACCTTCCAGTGTGACCTGTATCCCTTTTTACTGTAGAAGATATAAAAGGAGATATAAGAAGTAAATCTAATTAGGAGTGACCTCCATATCGTCACAAAAAAGAGCTGGGAGTGCAGTATGTCCTTTATACCTGGGCTCCCTGTACTGAGAACCTCCCAGACCCAGGGGAATATATTGATGCCAGGGCACATGGAGATCTTCAAAGGATGTCAGGCTCACAAAAGTTGAAAGAAGGCAAGGGCCTTAATCCAGAGCTGACAGCCCTGGAATTGGAGCCCTGATGGCACTGTGGTTTTAGCATTTCAGCGCTAAGCAAAAGGCTGGAGGTTCAAATCCACCTGCTGCTCACTGAGAGGAAGATGAACCAGTTGGCTCCCATAAAGATTTACAACCTTGGAAACTTTATTACACAGTTGAACTCTATCCTTATCAAAAGGCTAGTAGTTCAAATCCACCTGCTACTCACTGAAAGAGAGATGAGCCAGTTGGCTCCCATAAAGATTTACAACCTTGGAAATCCTACTTGCACAGTTCAACTCTATACTACATGGTTTTTATGAGTCAGAATAAACTCACTGGCAGTGTGGAAATGAGTGAGCCTCCAAAACTGAGAGAACAAACCTGTTTGCTAAAGCCAAGTACTTGCAGAATTTATGTTACAGCAGCATTAGATAAAACAGAGAGAACTGGATGCTGGAAGTAGGGTACTGCTCTAACAGATAACTAAAATATAAGTGTGGTTTTGGAAGTGGGCAATGAGTAATAGAAGAGTTTTAAGCCTGGTAGACTGTCTCCAAGAGACTGTTTATGGGATTACAGACTCAAAGGGAGAGAAGCAGATGGCCCAAAATGGCCGTAGCAGAACCAGCAGATGTGTGTGAAACAGCTAGCGAGCTGACTCATGGAACAAGAGAACTGAGTGCCTACAAGCAAAAGGTTGGCTTGTAGAGTGGAGTGCCTCCCAGGTGAGAAAAATGTCTTTGGCCTGAGGCTCACCGATGGAATCTAGTGTCTCTGGGCATTTAACAGTACACACAGAGGCCAGGGAACCAGAAAGCGGAAGCTGCAGAGACAAGGAACGTTGAAAGCAGGGCTTCCTTGGTGTCGAAGGGTGAGGCTACAGCCTTCTAGTTTTCAAAGAGTCTAGTCTTCACCAACCTGGTTCTGAACTGTGGGACTGTCATCCGTGAGTGTCAGAAGAACTGTCATGGTTGTTGTCTGGTACAGAAAAGGACAAGTTATAGTGATACTATGAACAACAGACTTGAACTCTTTTCTATTTTGTGCCATCCTCACCTCTGATACATTTGAGTCTATTGCTACAGTCATTGTGTCTAACCATCTCATTGGATTTCCTCTTTTGCTGACTTGCCATCTTTCCAACCATGATATCCTTCTCCAAGGAATAGCCTCTCCTAGCAACATATCCAATGTATAAGAGATGAAGTTTTGACATTTTTGCCTCCATGAAGCACTCTAGCTGAACCTTCTCCAAGATATATTTGTTCTTTTGGCAGTCCATGGTATATTCAGTACTCTTCTTCAACACTGCAATTCAAAACAATCAATTCTTCTATTATCTTTATTCACTGTCCAGCTCTCAGATGTGTAGCAAGAGATTGAAAGGACCATGGTCTGATTCAGGTGCACCTCCGTCTTCAGACTGACATCACTGCTCTTCAACATTTTAGAGAGATCCCTGACAGCTGACTTGACCAGTGCAGTAAGTATCCTCATTTCCTGAGTCTTGGTTCCAAGAGTGTTGATTGTTGATCTAAGAAGATGAAATCACTGACAACTTCGGTGCTTTCTCCATCTATCATATTGTTGCCTATTGGACCAGTGGTGTGGATTATTTTCTTGATGTTGAGATGTAACACATACTGAAGGTCCTTGATCTTCAAATCCTCCTCACTTTCAGAAAGCCAAGTTGTGTCATAATGCAGGTGCTGATGAGTCTTCCTCTAATCCTGATGCCACATTCTTCACAGAGTCCAGTTTCAATCACTTTTTTGCTCAGCATAGAGACCCAATGGGCATGGAAAAAGGATACATCCCTGGCATATACCCTTGCACCTGATTTCAAACCATATAGTGTACCCTTGCCTCATTCAGACAAGAGATTCTTGGTCTGGGTAGAAATTTCATATATGCACAATCAAGTGCTCAGCATTCCCATTCTTCTCAATGCTAGTTTTAGTTTGTTATGATCCACACAAATATCTTTGTAAAGTCAATAAAACACAGACAGACATTCTTCTGGTATTTTCTGCTTCCAGCCAGGATCCATCTTCTATCAGCAGTGAAATCCCTAGTGCCATGGCCCCTTCTGAATCCTGCGTGAACCTCTGGCAGTTCCCTGTAAATGTACTGTCCTAGCTGGTTTTGGGTGATCTTCAGCAATATTTTCTTTGTATGTGATATTAAATATGGATCTCTTCCAGTCAGCTGTCCTCCATATTTCCTAGTAAAGACACATGAGCTCATCCAGGGTTGCATCTGTTAGCTGAAACATGTAAGCTGGAATCCCATCAATTCATGGGCATTATTTATTGCCAATGCCTTCAGCACAGCTTGAACCTCTTACTTCATGACCATTACCTCTTGTTTATATGTTATAGCCTGGAATTTTTTCAGTGTCAACCAAATTTTTTTTGTACAGTGATTTTGTGTATTTTCTCCATCTTTTTTTGATGCTTCCTAGATCATTCAAGATTTTATCCACATTATCAAGATTACCCACATTATCTTTCAGTATTCCAACTCAAGGCTTGAATTTCTCAGTTCTTTCAGCTTGAGAAGCAGTGAGTGAATTCTTTCTTTTTTTACTGACTACTACAGCTCTTTGTACATTTTGTTATATTATTTTGCTTTGTTTTCTCAAGTTGCCCTTTAACATGTTTGGCTCTTTGACTTTGGCATCTCTTCCCTTTGTTTTGGCTTCTTGACACTTAAATGCAATTTATTTCTAGTTTCTTCTGACATAAATTTTGGTTTATTGTCAAAAAATGTGAAGGTATAGCTGCCATGCCCAGATGGCAAAAGAACAGGGTCAACTAGGGATGACGGAGTAGGATTATCACTCACTTGGACTAGGAGAATGGGACCACTCAAAGCCAAAAAAGTGAAGCTGTCATCCCAGTGGGCCTGGAAGTAAGTGGAAGTCTAGGGTTGAGGGACTTCTGCTCAGAATCCAGAGAGCAGTGCGAGTGGAGGGGACACCACTGTCTAAATGATTTCAAAGAACACAAAATTATCTTCAAGCCTTGAGAGCTAAAGTAAATTAGGATTTAGACTTGCTTGATGACTATTATTTCTTCTTTCTCTTCAATTTCCCTTGCTTTCAAAGGAAATACCTACCTTGTAACTAATCCATAATTATACTTTAGAAGGAGAGAATATGGATTCTAGTCTTTGTAGTTCACAGATGAAGAGAAATTTTGCCCCAGAATGGAATTTGGACTTAAGAGCTAATTTAAAATATTGGATGAATGATGAGGTGAAAATATTTTACATGTGGCAAGCACATAAATTTAGGTAGAGGGGGCAAAGTGTGTGATGTCAAGGATTGAACTGTATCATTCCCTATTTGCCCCCCTCCCCAAAAAAAATTATGTGTCAGCTTGACTGGGCCATGATTCTCAGTGGCTTATCAGTTAAAACTATAAGGAGATCAGAGTGGAATACAAACATCCTACTCCTAACTACCATAGTCTGAATAAACCAGAGAGTTCTCCTGAAATATGGCCTGTATCACCTTTTACCTTACAGAGATAAACAAAGATAAGTGAGGAGTGGAGGATGTCAGTACCAGTAAGAGAGAAGCACCAGGAACAAAATAAATCCTCTGGATTCCAGGTCTTTGTGCTGAGAGTCTGCTAGATCCAGGATAACAATAATGCTAAGGCACATGCAGAACTCTAGAAAACAAGCTGGAAGAAGTCAAAGACTTCCCTTAGGGTCAACAGAGAGAAAGACTTCCCTAAAACTGGCACCTGAGATTTGAACTTCTAGGTTCTTAAACTGTGAGAAAATAATTTTCCGTTTGTTAAAGTAATTTACTTGCGGTACTTCAGTTGTAGCAGAACCAGATATCTAACAGGGAATTGCCAGCCCTCAACCAACTATTCATATATCCAGGTCATACCACCTCACAGATGAAAAACTATGTATTTACTATTTCCATATAAAACAAGGCATCCTTCAAAGCTTCCATAGTTGTTCTAGTTCAAGCATTCAAAAATATTATGTTTAAGTCACTGAACACTTAAACTGAGGAGCATTATCTATCTTTGCATTGAATTCTTATAAAACATTTTGTCATCTATGTTGGGGTTTTTACCAGCTCATCTATGAGTTTCTGGAGGGGTGGCAGCCCAAATAACAGGGATATTTAGTTTTAAGGGGCTTGAATTCCTGATGTTTTATTTCAGTCTTTTCCTGATCTATCCAGTCACATTCACACTCTAAACAAGGTACACAGATTCCACTCCTTTTTCTGAGCTGGAAACTACAAGTACCAGTAGTTCATATTTTCTCCAAAAGACCACATCAAGAACCTAGAGCTAAACTATATTCTGTAATTCCATTTTTCATTAGCCACTTCAGCAACAATATCTTCCCAGGCAATGATAATGAAGTTTAAGTAACCAAGAACTTGTTTGGGTCCACGGTTGTATCTAATATATCTACTAGGAAGGCAAAGCTTCACTATTCTGACTTGTATGTAGCATATCTACACAATCCCAGACTAAATGGTAATATGATGTGAGGGGCGTGGAGGGAGCTTGCTTCTTCTATTAATTCGGCAATGCTTTTCCAATCAAGTCATATCTTGCTGCCTTTACATCTATATGTACATAAGGCCTAAGCCCCATAAAGCCTATTATATACAACATTTGAGGTACATATAATGGTTTATAGTAACAAACAAGTGCTCCATTATGATATGCGTCAAAACAATACTGTATGACTATGTTAGAAATGTTTTAGTCTATCTAGAAGTGTTTCTTTTATTTTTTTTTATGCATAGAAAGGTACACTATGTACTGAGACAAACATTTGACTAACTGGCATTAGATACAAATCAAATGGAATTGTTTCAATTTACACACAAATTAGATTTAGGAATGAGAATCATTTGTAATCCAGAGATAT